TATATATATCAGCAACAGTGATAAGTACAAGCGGTATATATATAGTTATATATATATGCATGTGGTATATATATATGTAGTGAAAATTTTCTTTTGCACAAATACTTCAAGTGGTGGCAGATTTCTTTCAATCGAACAAATTTAAAAAAAGGATGCTAAAATGAAACATTCATCTATCATATTGCGGTATAACTTCAAAGTCTTTCTCGTATATTTTCCAGAGTCAAAAATGGAATTTTAATGTAATAGCAATTGGTTTACTCTCAATCAAACCGTACTAAGTTCATTAGATTTATTGAATATGTTAGTGAGAAAATGTATCCGACTATCTTCACTAGCTAATGATCCGTAGTCGATGTATCGGATAAGTGGTAAATCTTCCGGTGTATAGGCGCCTTTTAGCAGCATCTGATGTCCTTGTCTTTTCTGACCATGACCATATTTCTGAAAATCAACGAATTGAGTTCTGGGCAATGTATTAATAATTCATACATCAGCTAAAACAAACAACTGTTGCTTAGATATTGTATGTTGCGTCCAAGGCCTGATTTGATCAAGTGTAAAAAGCAAAGGACTGAACTATAAGTCTGAAGGCCTAATTATGAGACTGAAAAGGTTGAAGAGCGTGTAGGATGAGAAGCATAGCTGTGAAGAAAAAAATCAATTCATTTGAGAGCTTTTGACTAGCGTAATATGTCATTCGATCGCATTAAATATTATTAGTAAATAAAGCTCAGAAGTTAATAGTATCCTCCTGATATTTATTACATGGTAAGGATGGTTGAAATGATGTTTCCTTCAATTCAGAAATTTATACCTGATGTAAAACGGATGCATATCGCATTAAATCCGGAATATGTACCATTCTTCCGCCAACATTCACGAGCGCATAACGAGCATCTTTAATGGCTCGTCCAAAATAATGAATTTTGCGAATATACTGAATTCCAACCAAATCAATACACATTGTCCTGTAGAAGTTAATTTCGAATAATTCAGATATTCAGCTTATCAAATATTAGCTAGAAACCGGAAAAATAAAATAACCAGAAAAACGAACGTTATGGCTAGTCCGACAAAAATGTAGAAAAGATCGAACAGGAAGTATTCTTGCTTGACTGGTACAATATCGCCAAATCCGACCTATGAGCAAATTTGATTAAACAAAAGACTAGATAAGAAGTTTTTTAAACCGAACAATGAGGATACAGAATTTATATAATTTAATAAATATCAGAATGAAGAAAATTCTTATGATCCAGGTGATCAATTTTTTAAAATCAAAATATCCCTTGAAAATTTCAAATCTCCTCACACTACTGTTATTAGCTTCTTCAATAATCCTTCTCATCACTTGCTGAAACGATCAATTGTTTATAAATGATGAACAACCTAATATCATTACATATTTCGAAAAAGTATAAAATTAAGCAATAATCAATAATCATGATAATAGCAATCAATAATCATGATAATAAACTAACCGTAGTCATCGTAATAAATGAGAAGTAGAAACCAGAGAAGAAATCCCAATATTCCCATAAAGCAAGTAAGACAGCACCAATTGTGATATAACCAAGTAGCATTCCAACAACCAATAGAATTGGTATTGAAATAAACTGTTCCAGTTCGAACTGCAATTATTGCGTAATGAAATATGATTTTGATGTTACGTCGAATTACAAATGATAGAACTAACCTGCAGTAATTGATCCTTTACATTATCACTTATTTCACCGACCATTGATGGCATACATAGACTTCTCCTCCCTTTGTACTTTTTCTTCGCTTCTGTATATCTACGAATGAATATCACGTTACATTCATATCTCATAAAATATATATATATATATATATAGAGATTAAATGAAGGAGGATGTCACCTCTCTCTACAGGTCATTCATTCCTTCGAAATTATATAGATTTATTACCCATACTTTTAGAGATCTTTTCAGTATATCTACATACTTTGCATATAGCCAAAGAATATTTTCACTCAGGAATTTGCCAATATCAGCAACAGTGATAAGTACAAGCGGTACACCAAATAGAGCATAGATAATGCAAAACATTCGTCCTTGAAATGTTACCGGTACCAAATTACCATAGCCTACAAATAAATGAGCCACAGTAAGAAACGATAGAAATGAAATAAATCAAATTTATAATCTTACCAATTGTTGTCAGAAGAGTTGCTGTAAAAAAGAGAGCTGTTATAAAGGTCCAGTTATATTCCTCCTCTTCTTCCATGAAATCAATTGAAGCGGTTGAAGTGTTACTTCGACTTCGTAGATGTGAGGCGCTAATGTAATGTGTATCAAAGGCTTCAAACAATACACGTGTCACGTTGTCTACGTGATGAAGAGCTAAACGTTCAATTTCCTCTGTAATGAATCAATAAATTATAATACGATTGAAAGATAACATCTATTCTATGACATTACATGACCAAGTTAATATCGAATACTAACCATTAGTCGGTGTAAGGGGAAATAGAAAAGAAATACATGCTAACTTTATTCAACTATTTCTGAATTAAAATTTAATACTAGAATATACTAGAATATATTAGAATAATAGAATATTCAATATGTTACTTTATATATACTAAACTATATACTATACATACTAATTAAAATAATTATAATATATAAGCAAACAAATAGAATATTCTGTTAATTCATTTTTCTGAATGCATATTTATCATATTTCCAAGTTTCATTTGATAACTGGATGATTCCATCATCTTTCATTTATTCAGATAATTAATTATCTATACCATCTGAGATTGATTCATCGTTTAGCATAATCCATAATTCATCAAGCATTAATTTTCGTTGAGCAGAAATATCTCGTAAACTTTCACGTCTCACAACAGTCTCATAAGGTCGTTCCAGATAATAGAATGCAAATGCACCGCCAATTGTATATAACATTGATAAGATAATGAGACCAACGTGAGGCAAAATTATTCGCGCATATTTCTTCCAACCAACCATCTGAATATATGCAGGTAGCATTTAATTTCATTGGTTGCAGTAATATTGGATTTTTAAGCAACTCGCAAAGTTTGCGAAAAACAATGAACTAATTAATTTTCTAAAAATAGATTGTTATTCAGAGCGATACATATTTTTAGTATCACTAAGTCTAGCACAATGTTTTCATTCATCTATTCCTCAGATATCTGATTATCAATTTCTGTTCTTCCTTAACTAGAACGCTAATTCACCGGAAGAGAGTATTATTAATTCTTGTCGAATTTTTACATCATTGAGACAAGTGAACCAAATGACTAAAAGATTTAAGATCTATAAAAGAATGTTTCTCATTCGCTAATGATTTTCGTTATCTTTAAAAATTTTTTTAAAATTTCGTAAATAATGAAATTACATCAATTTATGCGAGAAAAAAATTTACAAACCTTTGAAGATCACTCACTTATAATTAAAGGTGAAATTATGATGAATGTAATCTAAAAGATGAAGTCTTCTCCTCTACGAGAGAAGAATGATGATCACTTAGACGGTGATAGTATCGGTTACAGAGAAAGAAGACAAGATTCTATTTCTAGAATCGAGAATTCTAATATCAAAAAAGTAAACAAGATTCTATTTCTAGTGTCAAGAAAGAAGACAAGATTCTATTTCTAATATCAAGAAAGAAGACAAGATTCTATTTCTAGAATCGAGAAAGAAGATAAAATTCTCTTTCTGGTATCAAGAAAGAAGATCTTATTTCTAGTATCGAGAAAGAAGACAAGATTCTATTTCTAATATCAAGAAAGTAGGCAAAACTCTATTTCTAATATCAAGAAAGAAGACAAAGATTCTATTTCTAATATCAAGAAAGAAGACGAGATTCTATTTCCAGTATCGCGAAAGAAGACAAGATTCTATTTCTAATATCAAGAAAGAAGACAAGATTCTATTTCTAATATCAAGAAAGAAGACAAGATTCTATTTCTAGTAATGAGAAAGAAGACAAGATTCTATTTCTAGTATCGAGAAAGAAGACAAGATTCTATTTCTAATATCAAGAAAGTAGGCAAAATTCTATTTCTAATATCAAGAAAGAAGACAAAGATTCTATTTCTAATATCAAGAAAGAAGACGAGATTCTATTTCCAGTATGGCGAAAGAAGACAAGATTCTATTTCTAATATCAAGAAAGTAGGCAAAATTCTATTTCTAATATCAAGAAAGAAGACAAAGATTCTATTTCTAATATCAAGAAAGAAGACAAAGATTCTATTTCTAATATCAAGAAAGAAGACGAGATTCTATTTCCAGTATCGCGAAAGAAGACAAGATTCTATTTCTAATATCAAGAAAGAAGACAAGATTCTATTTCTAGTAATGAGAAAGAAGACAAGATTCTATTTCTAGTATCGAGAAAGACAAGACTACTTCATTATTTTAATTTCAGAAAATTTTTTTTTCAATGCTTATTTTTATTTATGATTACAAAGCATTCTATTGAAATATTAAGCATACTAATTAATAATTTAAATTAAATAATCATACTAATTAATAATTTAAATCAACACAATTGCTTTCTAAAAAAATATTTTAAGCCGTAGAAAATATATCTTTAAATAACACACACACACACACACACACACACATATATATATATACGCAATGCTACCATAATATAAATGATTGTGTGTGACTTTAGGAAATACTTAGGCGATAAATTTCAATAATTATCCTCAATACGAAGAAGTAAACAAAAGTTTGAAGTAAACAAATGAATGGTTGGATCGATATTTGATAGAGAAGAAAAGAGCGGTAATGTTGTGATGATGATTATACCTCATGATGATGAAAAATTACTGAAAATGTTATCTTGCTATGTGAAAATGTAAATGAAACTCATTGATTAAAATTCCTTCCATTTTTGAAGTCCTAATGAAATACTCTCTTTTTCACTCATTCAATGAGGATATTTTCCTTTTTCAGTCAATTCAATAAATTCTTATCAATGATTAACTCTCTCTCTCTCTCCCTCTCTCTCTCTCTTCGCATTACATTATTTATGAAAACAATGCATTTGTAATAAATAGCTTATAAGAAAGAAAGTTAAATTTTAAATCCATTAAGTTGTCATTAAAAGAGGATGACTATAGTATGATTAATGCTTATTCAATTATGATTCATAGAAATTTTGACAGCTCAAAAATATTTCATGCAAATATTATTATCAAATTGAATGATAAAAGATAAATTGGAATGAATTCTTCTTTTAATTAATTTTTTAATTGTTTAATTTAATGAAATGATATTGTAAGAAATTATTTCACCAATGGAATGAGCACTTTTGGCAAATTTTTTTAATAGAAAAAGTATAAATAGTGAAGAGATAGAAGAAGATGAATAGAGCAGAATAATGCAATATAGATATCAAGTTTATTTATATTATAAGATGGAATTGATGGAGTAGAATTAATGAACATACCATCTCCCTCCTTCTTCCTCTCTAAAATGGGCAGAGAGAGAGAGAAGAAGGAGGGAGATGAAATGTTTATCGATGTGGAAAAGTTGAATTTCTAAGCTTTGTGGAAATAAAAATGGATATAAGTTAAT